ATTTAAATAATCCAATTATTTCAATGGTTGATATCAGAGGTTGTCCCGTACAATTTTGGTCATGAGGATAGGATCCATGAAAAATTCATCAAAGGCTTCAATTGCAATTCTATGAATATATTATTTTTAGTTATTTAAAGATCTATTATACGGCGGTCCCAAGTGGTATAAAAATAGCTATGTTATTTTTTTCGGATAGAGGGACGAAAAGTTATTGGGGCTTCTGGTCGTTGACGGTATTGTAGTACACTATTACGATCTTGGTGGTAATTAATAATTATGAACACATTAGCACGTGTCGGATGTTTAGTAAGGGCTAAATAAACTAAATAGAGTGTTCGATTATTTAGGTCCGTGTAAACGAAGTTGAGTAACGAGTTATGAGCATTATTGCATCTTCGGTTTAAAGAAATTTATTTCTCATAAGAACATACAATGGTTCACTTAAAATGAGATACAAAGTAATTATATACTAAAGTAAAACTATCGCATCTACCTCTAGTGCTGTACCCCGAGCACGAATAATAAGCAATTGCGTCATGAATTCGTATAGAGTCAACTATGCGAAAACCAAAACCAAACTGTGGCTATAGTCGTCGGCAGCACGAACGCTTATCTCTTATTCACGTGTACTCGATACATAATGTAACTATATGTAAACAAACCTTAGACCACAATATTAAAACGAACGAATGAAAATGAATGACACGTTTAGAAATTGCTACTATTGTATTTGTTAAGTCTTTTATTGTACGTAAAAATAAGAAAACATAATGAAACTTATTAATAATCATGTGTTAATTAACGTAAAACACTTATTAAACAAGTTCACTATTTCTGTAATTATTTAAGTAGGATAATTTTTTATGTTTCTTATTATGTATTTTGAGTTGTGATTTCCGAATGCGGCCATTTTAAGATTAAGTTTAAACACTTGACTCTTGCGGCGCTCTAGTTTTTCATATTGTGCTTCATACTAGTTTGTGACTGCGCTTCGTGTTGTCGTAGAAAGTTTTTGTATTTGTATTTAGTATTTTTGGCTGAATTTCTTTACAATGTCAAGAACTAGCCCCACACAATTTACAATAATGGTAGAGTTCATGGAAAAGTAAGTAACTGATTGATACACAACAACAATAATTATATATTGATGACTGTTTAAGTAATGAATATTATGTTTATTTCTAAGGAATGGTGACTTATCTAAACCTCAAAATTTACCGCACGGGCGACTGTGGTGTATTAGGAAGTGGAAGGAGTTAAGCGATTTGCTTAACAGCCAAGGAATTGGAGAGTCTCGAAGTGAAGAAAAGTGGCGAAAAGTAAGTTCTAGTTTCATTGTTCCTAAACCTTCATTACAAATCAAGAGCGCTTACCTACATAGAGTTTTAAAAGCAAGGCTGATTTTGTGTAGTCAAAATTTTAAGTTAATTATCGTTTTATTTGCTTTGCTAAAGGTGTGGAGTGATTTAAAAAACAACACGAAGAGGAAGTGGGCCAAAATTAATAAAACTGCTCATGGTACTGGTGGTGGGCCTGCCTTAAAAATGTGTCTCACAGATTTGGAGAATAGGGTGCTGTCGATAATGGGTGTCGAAGCAGCAACTGGGATGGCCATAGCTGAAGTTGGTTTTAGCACGGTTTGTTAAATTTTTATCATGAAATCAATATCAAACTAAAAAAGGCGCTCATATAAGTTACGAACCCCAATTCTGAATTACCTTGCTGACTTTTTTTAGAATATATATTCATCATCACTATTCTAGTTTAGCAAACCTTTCATACTTACATAAATAGAACATTATTAGAAATCAAAAACTTTAATTTTACGATTTAATATCATAATAACATGATGAATTCTTTCACTATGAAAATATGACATACAGAAACTAATTTATATAAATGTAAATAACTAGAATAAGGCTAATAACCTATATTATTTTGCAGGTAGAAGAATCTGAAAAAAGTAAGCAAAACTGTTTTTATACCTGTGGAGCCAGTAAATACAGAGGATATAATAATTGTACCAAATGAAGTTCCTGCTACTGGTAAGTCTTCAACTACTCATATATATAAAAAATTTAATGACTAATATGAATTATTTATAATTATTATTTATTTTGATTTTCAAATAACCAGGACCCATGTTGCCACATGTAGCTTTATATAGCATTACATATTTTACATTACATATTTTATACGTGGTAGAGCCATGCTGCAGTTATACCTATTAGTAGTATAGTTGTAGTACGAATGGTTCGGCTTGACCGGAGAAAGAGCTTAATGCTGCTGTGTTTTGTATGGTGAGTGTAGAGAACCGGAGACCCTTTTTACTGAAAACGGGACATTCCATCTTAGTCCTCACGGATGACAACGCATCTGCATTTTGATTCGTCATCGAGGATAGATGTCGATGTCTATGGGCCACAGCAACCACTTACCATCAGGTGGATTGTGTGCTCGTTTGTCATCCTATTCTATAAAAAAATATAATTTTTTGTAGTATCAGCATGAGTCCTGGTTATTTGTAAATTAAATAAATAATAATCAGTAGTAATAACTATTAACATTTTATTAATTTACACTACTATATTATATTATTAATTAATATGTGATAGAGCTACGCTGCAGTTATATTATGGTTGTAGCACGAATAGGTTGGCTCGACCGGGGAAAGACCACACTCACAGAATACCAGCGTAAAATCTGCTGTGTTTCATATGGGCCACAGCATCAACTTACAATCTAGTGGACTGTGTGCTCGTTTGTCACCCTTATTATATAAAAAATCTTTTAACTTACAAATACTTATTTTTAACTATATGAAAAGTAAATAATTGTAAAATAAATGAAGATAATTCTGTAAGAAGTTCAAGTTTTCAATTGGTTTTTTCAGATGATGAGGACTGGAATACTCCTGGCTGCAGCAAGGATCCAGTAGTTATACCTCCAAGCAATCACAGATCCCTCACACCACCCCGATCCCCAACATCTCCGCAATCTGCCACACAGCTGAAATCTCCCCCCCAGTTGCCCCCCAGGCAACCCACCCCACAACCTCCACTTCAGCGCCGCCAATCCAAGAAGAAACAACTTAAGTCATTAGAGGAATATTTCTTTTTGTGTGAGGAGAATATAAGAAATGATAACAGAGAGAGAGAAAAGATGTTTGTAGAGTTAGAACAAGAGAGGATTCGACAGAGAGATATCGAGCTCCATCAGCGTGATAGTGAGCTACAGTTGCAAGCTCAGTGGCTGGAATTTATGCGGGGGAGCATTAGATATTTTACAAAAATATTTGGATGATAGAAAATGAATGAATGAGAGTTTTAATTTAGACTTTTTAATAGAATAATGGTGATAAATGAGCACACAGTCCATCTGATGGAAGTGGATCATGTGACCCATAAATAACTACATTTATTTTAGATTAAAAATCAAAATGCAGCTGAGATGTCTGAGGACGCTTGTGAGCTAATATGGAATGCCTCGTTTCCAGTAAACTCACCATATGCATTAAGCTACTTGGCAATATACCGTGAGGACCGTAATATAATATAATTTAAGTTTTTAGTTTTAGTTTTTTATGGTAATAAATATTGCATATAAATAAGAATTAATTGTGATTTTTGTAGTATTAATGTACCTATTTAGTAATGTAATGATATATATGTTTATTAAAATATCTCATTGAAATTGTTAATGTATTTTTTATTCAAACTTAATATTAATACCGATAAAAATAAATAACACTTAAAATCTAAAATCGTAATAACAAAACAATTCAAAGCGTTTTTCAAACTAAATAGATATACAACATAACATGGAATCAAATTCAATAGAAATAGACGTTTTTCTGTTCAATACATATTAAGAGTACCTACTTATTGAAAGTCACTTTTATGTTTAATTTACCACTGGTTTGGAAAATACGATGAGTTATAGCGCTGAGGGCCTCGGGTTCAAATCCCGCACGGAACAAGTATGTGTATGGCCTAAAAGTAATTGTCCCGGCTCTGGGTGTTTGTCCTTGTGCAATTTATGTTTGTAAAATGCCTCCACGATACTGGAGAAAATCCTAGTGAGGGGTAACGTTTTTTAAAAAGTAAAGAAGTAAAGAAAAAAAAATATTAGCAACAAAATCCAAGGTAAATTAAAAAAAAATGTTTACAGTGAAGTATTATATTATATAATTAACTATACAAATCATATTAGAAATGGCTTGGTAGCGACTACCTCATTCCCAGGGGTAATTAGCATCCATTATTTCCTTAATATTATAAGAAGATTAGTTGTTTTAAAGAAGTTGTCAGTGGACGAAATTTTGTTAAAAAATTAATTTAAATTACGAAAAAAGTAATAAATAGATCATTATTATTATTGTTAATATAAAATTCAATTTGGGCATATGCACATATTACATATGTATAGAAGAACTACGCTGCAGTAAGTCTACCTACAAGAATTCTTCTCATAGCACGGCCTCTTATTAAATCACTCTGACTACTATCACTTCTAATACATAAAGTGGGTTGATTTACGTTTTCAGTTAAATTGTTATCATATACATCTGCCTCTGGGTCAGGTACGCCAAATTGCATAGCTATGTTATGTAGTACACAACAAGCTATAATTATTTTGGCGCATTTTTCTGGTTTGTAATGCAGAGTGCGATCCTTGTTTACACATCTCCACCTATTTTTCAATCTTCCAAAGGTATTTTCTATAACCACTCTCGCTTTCCCGTGAAGTAAGGTATAATTAGCTTCAGGGCTTCCCTCTACAGCATCAGGAATGGGTGTCATTAACCATGGCCTTTGTGGATATCCAGAATCACCCGCACCAATATATGAAAATGTATTATTTATATTATAAAAAGGATGATATTCATTATAAAAAGTATTAAAAATAATTATAAAAATTAAATTGGAAAACTAAAAAGGACATTTAATTAACCTGTAAAAAGCATTTTTTGAAGCTAACATAATAACACAACTTACCAAGTAGCCATACTTGTTCATTGTTAAGATGTAATTCTTGCATATACTGGTTTACTAGGCTATTATCCCAAATAAAAGCATCATGGGTGGCACCTCCATATTTTGCATTCACATTTAAAATGCGGCATTCACTGTCACAAACCTACAAATAATTTTTTGTTAGTTTTCAAATAATAACATAAAATATCAATGTACTTAATTTAATACTTAGTTCAAAATTCATCACCATAATCATTATCATTACAGTCATAGTTATGGCGTACCTAGTTGCCCGCAAATGGATTGGCAACCGCAGTTTTTTCATTTATTAATTATTATGAAAGTGTTGTTACCCATCTCCTTCCCTCTGTTGCCTCTTACGACTAGAGAAACGGAAGATATGGGGTAGTGGATATTCCCATATCGCCACTACTCATTAGATTACAAGCTACATGGAGTACCTTCAAATTAAACTTACAACTTGTACATTAAGGGAATGAAAATGCTTTCTGCAATAAAATAAGTGTTCAATTTCTTTTTGTGGTGTAAATATGCGGAAATGTGATCCATCTATGCAGCCAATGACACCCGGTATCTTATATGTAGTCAAAAATCTGTGAAAAATAATTATTTTTTTAATTTAATTCGACTAGAGAATTTAACAAAGTTAAAAACACAACATTTTAAGTTTGTAAGTACTTTTGCTTAATGACGTCTCTCTCAGCTCTTGAAGTGGGGAACTTGATAAAATTGTTGCATATTATTTGACTGTTAAGTGCCTCCGTAACTTGAGAAACACATTTGCTAACACTTGTTTGGCCTAAATGTTTACCCATACCAACTAAACGTTGATATGAGCCCGTTGCGTAAAATGATAAAGCACAAAGAACCTAAAACATAAATGAAATAAATAATACATTTTAGGTCACAGAATAACTACGACAGGTACATAAACTTTGAGCATTGTTTTATACCTTAAGCTCTAAACTTATTCTTTTACTATCTCTCAAGTTTGTTTTAGAGCGAAGTTCATGACAAAGGTATATAAATGCATTTTTACTCAATCTATATCTTTTTTTAAACTCCAATTCAGAAATATCCATAGGGTCTTCAGTTCGTCGAAGAAAAACGCGTTGTGTAACACCACTGGAATTATTTAGATATATTTAATTTAAACTGCTATAAAAAATATTACTAATACATTAAATAATTAATTTAAGGGAATTATATGTACCTTAATTCTCGTCTTTGCTTTCTTGCCTCGACTGCCAAACGCCACGCGAAATAATAAAAAGCCGTAGATCTCATTCTATTTCTTCTTAATAAAAACATTTTGAACTAAAATCAACGAAGGACTTAGAGAAATTTAAAAGTAAGACTTCACGATAGCGTTCTCACCGTAAAAATGTCGGTGAGAATGATTTCGTAGTTCTCTACAGTGTATAGACGATAACGTACGTCAAAAAAAGATTCGTGCTGCCGATTCCCATACATTTTGTGTCTTACTATACGTTAAACTATACGAAAGCGATACGTAACGTAGCGGTAGATGTTCGTGCTTCTAAATTTTAGTTCCAAATACGTCCACGGAGCGCTGTTCAAATTCCCATACAAAATTTAACTGAAACTAAACTGTGGCGTAAACTATACGATAGATCAAAAATATTCGTGCTAGGGGTACTGGAGGTGTTATAGTTTTGAGCTTATTTACTATGAGATATAAGATTAAGATTATTTACTATGTCAGAAAAGATTACACTGTACGTACGTATTTCCTAAGGTTACTTTTAAACAATTTTATGTTATTGCAATTTTTTATGTCACCTGGTAGTTCATTGAACAGCTGTGCTCCCTCAAACAACAAAGTTTTTTGCCATAATTAGTTCGTGTAGTTATTAATTGTAGTTTATTTTTACTTCTTAAGTTGTGTGTTGTTGTTTTTTTATGTAATTGTATGTTTGATTGAATAGAATTAGTGGTAATGTTTTTTATTAGAATGCAAGTGCTATAAATGTATAGTTGTGTAAGATTTAGTAAGCTAGTTTTTTCGTATAGTACTTTTGTTGGCGTTAGATAATGATAGTGGAATAATGTTTTGATAATTTTATTTTGTGTCCTTTGAAGTGGATTTAGATTTGTTTTAGCAGCTGATCCCCATATCTCAATTAGATATTCGATATGTGATTTAACTAAAGAGTTATATATGATTGTACGAACCTTTTCCGGGGTACAGTTTGCGACTTTACGTAGTGCACATAGTAATGACGTCAGTTTTGATTTGACGTGATCGATATGCATTCTCCAAGTGAGTTTATCATCTACCAATAGACCTAGATATTTTTCCTGAGTTGAACGTTTTATTATTTTATCTTCAATAGTAAGATGTGCAAACTCTGGTAAAGGTTTATTCTTTGTAGAAAAAATTATGAAAGATGTTTTTGACATATTAATTGTTAGCAAGTTACATCTTATCTTACAAATCCCTTTTAGCAATCTGTTAAAATAATAAATAAATTATTTCCCCCCTCAAAACAAAGATTTACATTGGGCAAGTTTAAAATCCTACGTTGAAGTTTGAAAAATTCAGCTGCATTTCCACGATAGCACGCGTGATTTATAGTTTTCTATATCTCGAGCAGTCGCGTGGACACGTGTGACGTAATAAATTTAAACATTAAAACCGTATAACATATTCTACTTGAATATGAAACCATGTAGATTCTTTCGTATACAAAAGAAAGGATTTATCTAAAACGTATAGCGATATCTAGGACAGCCATGGATAAGTTGCGGAAGATATGGAGGAACCGTAACATAACAAAAGCCACTAAGACCCGGTTAGTTAGAGCGCTTGTGTTCCCCATATTCCTCTACGCTTCGGAAACATGGACCCTGCGAGAAAGTGAGAAGAAGAGAATAGACGCTCTCGAGATGTGGTGCTGGAGAAGAATGCTGAGAGTGTCCTGGACCGAATTCCGGACCAATAAGTCCATTCTCGAAGAACTCCGCATCAAACAACGTCTGTCATCTATTGTGCAAGCTCGCATACTCACTTTCTTTGGTCACGTGTCTAGGCGTAATGATATCTCGATTGAACGTCTAGTGGTCCAGGGAAGAGTAGAGGGCACTAGAGCGCGTGGCAGATCGCCTATGAGATGGACAGACCAGGTGAGGGCTGCGGTGGATGTCCCGTTGCATGAGTGCACAAGAAAGGCAGCTGTTAGGGAGGAGTGGAGGCGTATTGTAAAGCGTGCCACAACACCCAAGTGACGACCACGACCGCTCTGTCAAGAGCGTATCGACTGAGAAGAAGACCTATAGCATATTATAGATTTTTTTTTAATTTTGCAGCATATAGAAAAAAAGTAGAATGCCTATTACATTAAAAAAGGTGTTTTAACTAGCATACAGTCCACTGCAGCCCATAGACATCTATATCTATCCTCGATTAAACAAAAACGCAGATATGTTGTCATCCCTTAAGGAATTAGACTGAATGTCTCGTTTCAGTAAAGATCATCTTATAATTTCATAAAGGTCAAATCTGTAGTACAAAGCTGTAGTACTGGTATATTGCTATACCATTGGTGAAAGGCGACTACTCGAGAAATTTTCCTCTCCGTAAACGGCACAAAACTTATTACAGTAAAAAGCTTACAATATCCAAAGCTAGAATATAAATAATATATTACTTAGGTTCAATTAAAGCAGTTAAATTAAACGTATTTTTAGGTAGCAATCAGAATTTGGAATTCGAGATAGAACACTAAATACAAAAGGAGAGGACACGTCAGAATCGAATCCATTTAGGAATTGCTTATACAACTCGACACCTATTCAGAAATCGAATTGAGCTAGTCCATAGTTGATGATTATGCAAATGTTTGTAAAGGGTGAAACAACGCTGCTCGTTTCCATGAGCACGATCCGCCAGCGTTCGTGCTGTAGCTGTAACAATCGCTGTTTTAATTAAATCTTTTCGCACTCTAATAATCATTTCGCGTCTTTGTTTGAAGTTGTAAAGATCGACGGGAAACTATAGAGTAACAAATTGTGCTGTAGTATTTTTTTATGTGGTAGAGCCACGCTACAGCTATTATGATTATACCATGAATGGGCCGGCTCGACCGGGGAAGGGCGTGGCCCTCAAAAAATGCTAGCGTAAAATAGCAGCTAAATGCTGCTGTGTTCCGTATGGTGAGTGTAGAGAACCGGAGACCCTATTCACTGGAAACGAGGCATTTCATCTTAATCCTCAGGGACGACAATGGCATTTTGATTCTTAATTGAGCATAAATGTAGATATCTATAGGCCACAGCATCCACTTATCATCAGGTGAACTATGTTTTTTTTATAGGAGAGGTGGCAAACGAACATACGGCTCACCTGATGGTAAGTGATTACCGCCGCCCACGAACAACTGCAACACTAGGGAAATCGCATATGCGTTGCCGGCCTTTTAAAAAAGGAGTATGCTCTTTTCTTGAAGGTCCCTAAGTCGTATCGGTCCGGAAAATCTCTGGTGGTAGTCGATTCCACAAGGAAGTTGTGCGAGGAAGAAAATTTCTTTTAAATCGCACAATGGTGGGCCGCCAGCCTTTTTTCTTATTAAAATAAATAAAAAGTTACGTAAGTGAATCCATTAGATCATTTGGTTCACCAAATGATGTAAGGTCTGGGCGACAACGGGAAATGTCAGAAAGACTTCAAACCATTGATTGGTGATTTATACTATCTCGTCTATCTCTCTCTCTCCTTTTTTAACGGCACCTAAAAGTCCACTGTTGGACAGTTTCTCTCCTTGTAGGTGGGATTTGCGTAGCGGCTTTACGTGCTTTCCGATGCACGGGGGTGGAACATCGGGTTGCTGCTGAGAATTTTTTGACAGAAAAATTCAATAACTGATTTTGGCCCGACCCGGAATTCGAACCCGGGACCTCAGAATCAACAACTGCGGTTACGATTACTAGACCAACGACACAGTCACTCTTAAAATTAACAGATGAATAAAACTACGCGTTACAGATGGTATAAGTTATATCTTATAACGTTTAATCTTAAGTTATTTTGAGCAGACCAAAATAAAACTTATATACCTACGAAGTAGAAAAAAATTTGTAAGCATCGTAACATCGTGCATGTTTTTGAGGTGTTGGGACTATCCTGCCCTAGGAATCAATCTCGTCTAGTATAAACTATTTTTCACCCACACAGCAGTGCATCCACTGCTATTCATATACCCAGGGTCAAGAGACCCTTCAAGAGTAAGAAAACCAACATAATTATATGCGTGATGGCATTTTAAATTTTTGTCCTCAAGGGCGACAACGCAGCGCGCTTTGGTTCGAAGATAGTTATGGGTAGGCTTGTAACCTTAATAAAAGCCGTTTGCGGGATTTTCTACAATGTATACGGGACTTGAGTACGTCTCGGGACACATTATTCAATAAAAGAGTGCCAAACTAAAGGACAATTTCACATTGATTTTGTTTAAAGAGTTATACAATA